AATTTTCCCATTATTCAATTTTAACCACTTGCCCCCTTGCCTCCTGGAGCCAATCTCAGCGTTTTAAGTTGTATACAGCAAAGCAATGCAAGGCAGGGAAGCTAAGAATGTGCTTGTACTGGTTATGTTCCTTTTCCTGGAAAACGTGAACTGAGTGAAAAACATTCCTTGGAGAAGATCCCTGCCCTTCCAGGGTGGACAGAGAAGATGACTTCATAGGGGCTGTTCTCATTCTAATTCATCTGAGTCTCAGGCCACACAAACTATAAATTTTTTCAGTGCACTGAGGTCTGCTGGGATGCTGGCATTTCCTCCTCCTCATTTACATGGTCTTCCCATAATCTAGCACTGAGATAAGCTGAACTGCTTAAGGACTCCCTGCCAATGCCACTTGGGGCTTGCTTATGGAAGACCTCTGGAGAGTGATGGGAGGTGCTCCCTGCCCTTCTCCTCTGCCTATGAAAGGGCTGAGTGTGCTACTTCTGCAGAACTGAGCATTCCTGCCAGCCCATAAATCAAGTGACCAAACTCCATCCCAGTCTCTGCAAAAAAGTCCCATACTCTGCCTTTGCAGCACACACAGGGCAAAGAGCTGTATTTCATCAACTGAAGCCCTAATATAAGAGGAGAGTCGTTACCTCCTGAAAAAAAAAAAAACCAACAACAACCTTACTAGTTCTGAAGCTTGGCTTCCCTGTGTTTACACCAAATGACTTGTTGAACTTCATTATATACAAAGTATTTCCATAGATCAGAGGCAGGGAGACCTGTGCAGCTAACATAAAATAAATTACCACCCCGTGATAAATGGTTCTATTAGCAATCCAGATTGTTAAACTCAGATACAACAGGATGAAGGGAGCACTGCCCCATTCATTCTCCCTGCGGCAGATACTGAGTTGTAAATAGGTTATTTTGTGTGTAAATAACACATTAAAACTCAGCATTAGCCGTGTCTTTTGATAGAGAGGAAATTGTTCCAAATAAATAATTTCGGACAGGAATGTAAAATAAGCCAGATTTAATAGTGCATGCCTGCTGTAGCCGTGTTAAACATGACTAAAATGATAAACCCCAGAATATACTAATAGTAAACTATGCTCTGACATCAAAGTAATGAGGCTGTATTTTTACCCAGCTTTAGAAATGCTAAAATTAGTCTTGACAGAGCCAGACATCAGAAAAATGTTTCAAACATAAACACCATCAATTTGGGAACTTGGTGTTTGTGTCATACAGAGGGTGGGGTGGAGAGGGAAAGGTGCATTCTGGGCCTTGTTAAAGTCAGGCAGTTAGCATTTAGGAGAGTTTGTATTTAATTTTTATTACAAGATGAGAAACCCATCTTCCTAAATATCTCTGCCTTTGAAAGAGTGGCTCATTTAAATTTCCCTTCCAGCCACGTGTCTGGGGCTTCCTTGTGCATGCAGGTATGGAGGATGTTGCAGTGCCAGCTTGGAGGACACAACCCAGTCTCACTCATGTTGTGCTCTGTTCCAAAGCCTCCTCCTCTACGCAGTAATGTGCACTTTTGCATTCAGCAAAAGGGTTCTCTAAACTCGAAGTGTTATGAGTTGCCTTCTAGAAGTGGACACACCAAAACTGAGAGCCTCTTCTGCAGATTTGACTTGTCTATAGCTCCTACATACTGTCATTTATAAATAGTTTCCATCTCAGCCACACATACATATGTGCCCCTACTGAAACAGAAGAGAGGAGCTTTGATTCCTTGGCCAACATGATTTATGGAAAAATAGAAAATTAGGAGACATTTCCCTGATGTCATTTCTGTGAGGCCAATTTCTGAACATCTGATCAATGAGTTACTATAAAAAACTGTCACAGAAGATCTCTAAAACAGCAGCTTCAGAAGAACAGAAATATGGGATGCAGATTGTTTGTACAAAAGGACTCTTCTCCACTGCCAGCATCAACCATATCGATCTCTTTTCCTACAGCCATACCTTAATATGTTAGAGGTTGGAAACATTTGGGACAAATATCCAAAGCAGGGGAACTAGAAGTGGAGATGGAACATATTACCTTGTGATAATGTAGTCTAAATAATAATATAACTAAATAGTATTCTTCAGTTATTTAGCTAATATTCAGTTTGTTGCTTCAATTACCTTAATTATAAATAAAACCTTATGAATCTAATAATTTCTACAAGTGAAAAAAAAAGCCTTACGATCTGAGAAACATGCAAAACATGCTGTGTTGGCACTCCATCTGTGTGACTCAGTAGAATAAAGGAGAAGAAATGTGTTGTGAATTACATTTGTTTGGCTCTTGAGAGCAGCTTGGCGATCTGCAGTGCTAGTTGAGCCTCACTGCCACTTTCTCATATGCTAGTACAAAGGGTAAAACTTCTGCAATAAATGAAATCAAGAGTTTGTCTTGGATGAGAATGAACACTTGTTTGTATGGCCCCAAAGCAGGGTGGGGAGCTCAGAGGCCCACCCTTTAAAACTGATCCTCTCCTTAAGCTGAACTTCCTAATTAATCTCCAAGCCTCATTTGCTTTCTTCTGTAAAAATAAGAGCATAAATATGTGTATTTCTGGCCTGTTATGAGTAATTGCTCTAGTTTAGGGAATCAAACGTTATATTAGCATGAATACAACGTAAGTACAGTCTCATCTCTACCCAGACGTTTTGTTATCACCTGCTAAATCATACCTTGCAGTTAACTCATGTTAGAAGAAAACTTTGTATTATTTTTTCTACTTACAAGCACATGCACAAGCATGCTGCCCTCTTTCAGGAGCCTGTATTATGTCTCAAATCAGAGTTCAAAGGAAAGTGTGCCGAACCACAAAAGCATGTGCATTACCTGCAGAGTCCTGGGGCCAGTGTCCAATCACACACTGCTTCGCTGCTGGCCATTTTGGGTCATTTATGAGCATTTCTTTTCCCAGCATGACATAGATTTCACTCTTTACATCTCATTACACAATGCTTTCATCATAATTCTCCTGACATCTTCAAACAATCCTGAACTTACTTCTCCACTTCCTCATAATAAAAGCAGAAATACTGAGCCCATAAATAATTTTTTTTCCAAAAGTGAGAGGACACTGCTAACAGGACATGTTATACTGGACGTTTAAAAACCAATTAGGTCTCCAGGGATGCCACATGAGCTGATGGGGACACCACCTCGGGGCATTCTCATTTCCACTGGATCTCTGGAAATGTGGTGACTGCTTCTTCGGTGGAGGCACTCCCAAGGCAAGTGGCAAATGGGGAGAAGGCATTTATGAATAAACAGCACATCTATGGGTTGTGAGTTTGAGCACATGCTTGGACTGTATTTGGTGCCAGTCAACCCTTCAGGTCTGCCAGTCACTGAGATGATACCTCAAGTGTGCTGCATCAATAGTTCCTACAGCCTGTACTTCTTCAACAGGGATCTGCTGGGGGACGGCACACTTCTTCAGGCTGCTGTCTCTGCCCTTTCCCTATTTCTGCTTCCTGGTAAGCTTTCCTTTCTGTCACTTTGTGCAGTGCTTGTGATGAAGGTGCCTCAGAGCCATCCAGCGACATGAAACTGTCTTTCCCTTCAAACAAGTCTGTAAAACATTTTCTGGTTCTTTTAAAGAAAAAACTTTCTTTTTGCTAACAAAACCTAACAAAATTCATCAAACACAGGAACTAATCTGATAGATTATAATCTAGCCACTACTACCTTATTCTGTGCATCTGAATCTTCACAGGTCAATTGGGAAATGAAAACTGAGTCACAAAGATTATGAAAAAGGAGGAGAGATAAAGCAGATTTAAGTAATTTGGGTTGGAAAGTATCTTCAAAACTCAGCCAACAGAAAACTCAGACTCTCCAGCCGAGCTGGGTAAGAAACAGAAGAGCTCTCAGAAGAGTCATTCTGTTCTCCCAGGGTGATGAAAAACCACCCTGCAGCGAAGGAAGGGGAGGGGAAAGGTTCATTTTGAGGTAGACTCAGGCTAGCAATAACGTATATTTTAAAGAGTTAAAAAAAAAAGCTGCCTGCAAAGTTTACACAGCTGAGATGTCTCTTCTCACATCCAAACTGGTGCAGCCCTTTCTAAGTTTGTCTCTTTATACCCTGTCCATAGAGGACACCCAGTCCTCAGCAAGAACAGTTGCAGTGCCTTGCCAGCAGGCACAGCCTTGCCCACAGCTGTGCCACCATGATGGGCCCTGGCACCAATTTGGAGATCCACCAGCATACATGTGCCAAAGAGGGATGTGTGTTTTGCCTGCCACAGTGAGCAAGAGGAGGCAGGAGCAACATCCCTGCATGTCCCCCTGCACACCCACCAATAATGGCTCCATGCCTATAGGTGTCCACAAGAGCTTCCCAGTTGACTCCAACAGCAGCAAGACCAAAATCTTGCTTAAAACATGAATGAAAAAAGAAATCAGGACCTGAGCTGTTTCTGACATTAACAGAAATGGCACAAGTGGGGGCTTTTCTTTGTGAACATTCTTGCATTAGGTCTGGACATTCCCAAATTCCTCCCTAATCATGAAATCCCCGCAGCAATTACTAAGACTGTGCAGTCTGTTTAGCTCATTAGCAGGATCACAGCTGGCACATGACACTCCTTCCTGACCACGGTAACAGGGTGCTCTCCATCACCAGCCAGCCTCACCAGTCATTCTTTACCTCCACCGTGGAGAGGTGGAGGGCACTGTGCTGCCACCACTACACAGCACCAGTTAGATGGTGGCAAGCAGTGATGGGATGCCCCAACTCCCTGACAGCCACCTCTCACCACCCATCCTGTCCCTCACCCTGGCCCAGGTCTCTGGGACTGGCGGTGACCGGTCTCGGTGCAGTGACATTTGGATGCCGCACGGTGACACAGCTTCCCGTTTCTCTGACCCCCGACGGCCAAGAACCCCAATAAACTCAGTGTGTTCACAGGAAGACAGATGCCACTATACTTATTAAATTCTTACAGTCTAATGAAAAACACCCCTGCTGCTTTCAAATTGTGGAAAACATAAAGTACCTCCTTGTGCCACCGCCGCTCCCGCAGCTGCTAAAGGAGTGGGTTTCTTCCCCGTCTCTGTAAAGCCATTCCCCTCCAGAACGGCACCTTTTCCTTCTTTTTTCCCAACAGCCGTTGAAGCAGAGGTTTCCATCTTAGACAGGCATCTTCCAGCTCAGAAACCCTAGAGGACATAAAACAAAACCGGATTCTGGTCACCACTCACAAAACAGGCAAAATCAGCTCCACGAGGAAGTGGCAGAAGGTTCGGCAGAGCTCAAAAGTAAATGGCGAGCAACAAAGAATTCCCGGGTTTCTAACTCCAGCAGCAGAGCCACTACAGCAGTCACAGGCACAAAGGGCACAACCATGTGAAGGGATAGGTGTTCTCATAGACCTAAAAGGATCAGGATCAAAAAGCATTTTTCCCCACATAAACTTGGGCTGCACAATAGGGCTGATGAGTCCAAAGCGCTTTCCAGGATGATAGGATAGATCAGATGCAAAAATTAATCAGGTATAAATCCCATTTGTCCATCCTATACATGACCTAGCACACCATAAGAAAAAAGTCAGCTAAAATTTCCAATATAATACAGATAAACATACATTTAAGGTGGTTTTTTACTTTCCCACAGCTGGCCCTTACACTGTGTGCTGGTTTGGAACCAGTGTCCTGATCAGAACTTTTCCACAATGGTTACAGATAAGCCATAGCAGGTCTGCCAGAGCCCATCCAGTTCTCACTGGTGAAGGGTAACAGCCATGATTCCTCTCTCTCCCAAAGAAGTTCTTCTATTCTGACCAGTTGCATCTGAAAATCAGCTACAGTTTTACCTCCATTAAAAATGGTGAAATAAGTTCTGTGAAAGATATACAAAACAAGATACCAAAGCACAAATAACCTGGTTTTCTAAACTTAGGTTGATGAAACATAGCAGCTCCTGAAGTTTGTTAGCTTGACCATTTGTTCTTCATGATTCAGACTTAGCTGGTCTCCCAAATGAGTATCCCAAGAGGCATACTTTGTTTCTGAATGCAAATACTTTTGTTCACCCCGTTTTAACTAGTTTTGTTTCACATGTCTCCACCTGACTCCTGCTTTCACAGAACCCGCACAGTTACCTGGCACTGGCCTCAGGCTAGTCTTGGGAAAACCCACTGCTAATTCCTCCTTTCCTTTCTAATTTTAATGCAGATCTGCAATTTTTCACATGCAAATTTTCAAATGCAAATTTTTCAGCCCCTGAGATACTCTGGAGCACACTGGCTGTTTACCTCACCAGAATTAATGGCATCAGGCAAAAAATGTCTGGGAAACCAGAAAACTTCTTTGTGTGTGCAGGTAGTTTTATTGCACTGTGCCAGCTCAAACTTCTCTCCCTTTGCTCTAGAGGACTGACTCCTGAACATCTTGGATTAAAACGTTAACTCTCCTAAAAACTTTAAAGCACAAAGATTTCAGGAATTCCCACCCTTGCTGGCACCCTAGAGGGACCTGGTGAGTGGTGGATGTGGCAGCTCTGGCAGAATGGTGTCCCACCAAGGCTGTGTGCTGTGACCCGAGTAGCTCATCCTAGGAGCCCCCAGGCATGGCTCGCATTAATGGGACAACTAAGTGATGGATCTGCGGTCACAGTTTGCAGTTGTAAACTGTGAAGCTTCCATTGGAAATGACAGGACCCACAATTACAGGCTTTACTGATGACACCAGGCTCCAGTGAATACCAAGGTGGCCCCTCAAGGTCCTGCCCCGGCATGTGCTGGGCTTGATGGCAAACACGGGATGGGCTCCTGGGGGCCAGGACTTTACAGTGGTTTAATCCAGGAATCAGGTTGGGTTACAGACCACGTATGAAATAAATACACTCGAACTGGAGGAGTATTTGACCTAGGTCTGACAGCCTGGGCTTCTGTTCGTTAAGCAAATAAACTTCAGAGGCTCTATTACTAGCCCCCCACCTGTTTCTTCTTAGTCCCTCCTTTCAAGGCTTTGCACTTTTGTTTGAAACCAGACGCTGTCCCTCGCACCCCCATCCCCCCTTCCCTGGTTACCCTGACCCTGGGGGCAGCCCCAGGGGTGAGGGATCTTGCTCGGGGCACTGTAGAGCTCAGCAGCCAGCGAGGGGAAGGAAGGAACTAGTAACAGAAATTGTTCTGTGAAACATGCAGGTTAGAGCCATGCTTTCTTCCAGAGAGGTGCCTGAAGCAAAATCTCTAAATCCCTGCCACAGACACCTCAGTAGGGACCCAGTTTTTTAGATATGTCATTTATCCAACTGGAATGTGACAGGAGATCAGGCCCATATTTGAAAATCTGGTCTTTATAGGTGTATTAATTATGAATTAAAAAAAATATTCAAGTGTTTGTAATAAGTGGTTGTATTAAACAGGTAAATCCTCAAATACTGGATTAGAAAAAAAATAAATAATGCAACTTCTCTAATCTCACAGGATTTAGGGTAATAAGTCTATAATTATTTTTGCTTCGTAAAGGTACCTGGGGCAGACCAGGCTGATGATGAGGTTCCAAACTTTTCCCTGAGTCAGTAGCAGCCAAAATTCATTCTCCTTCCACAGCGTGCCACAACCAGAGCTGATCATCCCAGCCTAGGAGGACACGAGCATCCTTCCCACCACATCCTGCTCTGCTCAGCACCTTCACCCACAGACTGGGACAGAGAGGAGCGAGCAAAGGAGCACCAACACTGATTTTATATCCCACCTTCTGCAATTTCACAGACAATGGCTGAGAGCTGGTGACCAGCAGACTTCCCAGCAGTGCTTTGGTGTAATGTGTGATCAGGACACAGTGCTGGAACTCTGGAGATTTAGGTTCCCATCATGGATCTGCTACAGTCTTCTCTGTGTCCCTGGGTAAAAACCTTAACTCCTCTCTTGCAGCTACTTTCCACAGCCATAAAATAGGAAATAGTACTTTGCCCTATTTGCAAAGTGCTTTGAGATCCTTGGAGGCACAAGGCTATGGAAGTGTTTTTATTACCAGTATAAGAAGATATATTGGTGGAGGCAGTCAATCCACACTATCCAAGAGCACAACATCCATTTTTTAAGCAATACATACTTTGCTTTCTGTTCGATGCTAAACTTTTTCTGCTGCTCTGTGCCACACAGAATTTATAAATTCAATGACAGATTAATCTTAGCAGCGAGCCATTTGGCATGAAAAAGGGTTTCACAGGGAGCCTGCTTTTTCCTGTAAAGAGCATGCATTTAGGAGTGACTATACGGAGAAAGACCCTATGCACTTATTCAAGCACAACTCTCTGCCCTCCGTCATTACTCAGAATTAGAAACCAGAATGGATTACTCAGATTGTTCCTAAGGTTTGTAGCTTTCTCTGCAGGAGGAGGGTTGGGTAATTGATTTTGACACTAATACCAGCACTATTCATATGCCCTGTAATATAATTCTGCAGCGACACTAAAAAGGCAGCCATCTGAGATCTGAACAAGGAAAGTGCTATATGATTTGCCCTAGACAACCCCAGCTATTTTAACAGCTGTGTTGTATATTAAAAGGGAGAAATCCCAACAGAATTAAAAACAACAAAGTCACATTTGCCTTTGAGGGAAAACAAGAAGCTTTAAACTTTCCTAATAAAACAATCCCTCCCGCTAAGTGCTTGAGGAATGGTCGAAAGTGCTGTCCCAAAATGCTTGTCTCTTTTGGAGGGCTTCAGCCTGAGCAGGACTGCTAGCAAGCACAGGAATAAACAGACACTCATCAGACATAGCCCCTACACACCTTTTTTTGAAAAGTCATTATTTCCTTCTTCAGGATTGTTCTTTCATCAGGAAACCCCCTTCTCTTCCCCTAGACAGGGTAGGAAACATTTTTTTTTTTCCTTGTGAAAAATGAATGACCAGTTTTGGCCATCTCTGCTCAAAGCTAAGTAGCACCATGGGAGTGAGCCTCTCTGGCAGAGGGCAGGTACTGCCAGTAGCATTGTGACACAGGTCAAATCCTGAATGCCACCTTCAAGCTTGGCAGCCCCATGGAAGGAGCAGAAAGGGGTTTCCAAAGTATGCTTCCAGAAGCTGTCTTGACAGGATACAGCTTCAGTGTTGCTGGCTCCTGGCAAGACCAGTGGGAGCTGGGATAACCAAGGGCAGTCTTTGCACAGCTCTCACCAGGTTTGTTCTCATACAACCACAAGGAGATAGTTGATCAGTTCTGCCACATCACCCCCCATGTAGGTACAATCCCAGGCTTGATATGTATATCTGGCATGCTGCTCTAGTTAAGATAAACAAAGAGATACTCCCACCATCTCTTCTTCAGCAGTGGACTGTGTCATACAGTTAAAGCCTTCTGAATACATGATCTACTTATGAAATTCAGTGTGAGCCAACTGTTCTGAATATTGGCTTAATACAGTGGCTGCTGTGATCCTTTTCAGTCTCCCAGGGTTTGAGCCAAATTATGTTCTCAATTACAGGGAAGTAGCAGCAGTTAACCCGGTGAAGTCATAGGCTCTATACCACAGCAAAACTTGACCCCTCTATTTTCTTTTATATCAGCAACAGCTTCAAATTACTAAAGAAAGTTTTCTCTGTCCACATGCCACTACTAAATGTTAGGACTATCCAAACATGCTGTCTGTTGCTGAAGGACCTACAAGTGTTTACAGAATAAAAGCAGGTAAAAGCAGCATAAATACTAATTCAGAACTAATCACTTTCGGGGTCCTCTTGACACAAGGTTTCCCATTTGGACAGCTCTTAGGAATGGTCTGCTTGGGCCAATCCTACAGGGTTGATTACACATAGAAATTAGAGCTGTATGCTGGGGCATGCATGAATAGAGCAGTCACTGTCTGTCTCAGGGCCCCTCCTGCCCCTTCCCCTTGAGAAACTTTCTGTGGTGGGTCCCTACCAGCTTCTGGGAGACATCATGGGGAGGGAGGAAAGGAAGCAGAGACAAACTTGTGCTGACAGGAGCAGTGTTAGCAGGGCACAGAGCTGCTCAGGGCTTATTCTGCTTTTCTACCTCCTTCCCCAACTCCTGCTTAGAGAAAAGTGATACCAGGCTGCCAAAGGGAGGGAGGAGGGAGCTGTGCTGACTTTCAGCAAAGAGGATAGAAATACACACAAGTTCTGCCCACCCGACCCCAAATGTAAGGATAAAATTGCTAAGAAAGCTGGGTGTTAACAAGGCTTC